GTTCTTTTGCTTTGTTCATGAAGGAGGTGATTTTTTTCCCCTACCAGAAATGTTGCTTGGATTTTAATTTTTTTTAAAAAGAAGGCAGTTAATTTATGTTTGCTCTTTTAAATTTTGTTTCCAAGTTGGTGAGGTTTTATCTTTCTGATATTTAACATAAATACCCCCTCTCTTGTCGGTGCAGGGTTTACAAGTGGCCCAGAAGGTTCCCTTCAACGCCTGGGAGATCATCGAGGGCCACAAGAACATTCCGCCCATCCCCTGGTCCTTTTTTGGGGCCGTCAGGATGGAAAAGAAGGCCCTCAAGTATGAGGACCAGAAAAGGTATTTGGGCTGCAGCTTATTGTACATAGTCATTTTTTGTTGTTGGTTTTAGTTGTTGTTTTTTTAGGGGGGGTCCTTTTTAAAAATTTGTTGTTTTAATTAATTTGCTGTTTTTCCTCGACCCTTTAGTCCCCGTTCCACCTAAGGCCCTCGTCACTTCTCCTTCGCCACTGTTAGGAATGATTGTAAGGACAGATGATTGTTTTGGATAGATGTTTGCTAGAGAAGGTTCACTGTATTCGCATACAATTTGCTTTACAGAGACTGATGAAAGGACACTGTCAGTGATGTATATCTTATATTTGTCTCTATGAGGCTTCATGAATTAGGAATGCTGAAGCCAGTAGAGAAGCCTCTGTGCACATGGGCAAATGAAACTGAAGCTTTTAAATGGTCAAAATATGGCCAACTCCTCCCTGACAGAATTGGTCTCATTAGCCACAGCAGAAGCCACAAGTCCTTGTAACTCTTGTTTTGCTTATTTTTTATTATATTTGTCTTAGACTTTTGGAATGTTGAAGTGTTTCTCTGATGACCATGTTACTATGATGAACATGTTGCCATGACGACGAATATGTTACTGTGGCGAACATAATTTTGCATGTTATTACAATGATGCTGTTACTATGACGGCCATGTTACTTCGACGACCATATTACCATGACGACCGTCTTACTACATTTAACTTAGACAACCTAGCACTACACGTTACTTCGATGATGATGGTGTTGCTGTTACGAGCGTGGTTCTATGGCGTTCATGCTACTATGGTAGCTATGTTAGGACGACAACCATGATGACGATGTTAGTGGGTGGTTGACGGGTGCTCTGGTGTGGTTTGCTTCTTCTTTCCTATCAAACATCTATCGTCCTGATCTCTCCTCCTCCTTTTTTATGTTTGTTGCTCTCTTGTAACACCTCTAATCTTCGGCACTTATATGACTTTATTGAGTTGCAAGTGCCGTAAAACTCTAACTGAAACCAACAAATGACGACGTCACTATGACAGTGTTACGACAACGACCTATTTCTGTTTCAGGATTGACCTGTACCACACCCACACCCTGAGGAAACCTCTCAGCTACTTCTTAGAGCCCCCAGTCTTGCCACCGGAAGACCTGGAACCCATTCCCGAGAAGATTGTAAGTCACGGTGGTCGCTGCTGGACTCCGGAGAAAACAGAGAGGGAGGGATGTTGCTCTGTTATTCCTCATGGTACACCCCCCCCCTCTCTCTCTCTCTCTCTCATATATTCTCTCTCAAATATTTTCTCTCTCTCTCTCTCTAATTTGTTTCCCTTTCTCTCTCCTCCTCTCCCGTCTTCTCTCCCTCCCTCCCTCTCCTCTCTCTGTTACCTTGATCTTTGTATTTTCTTTTCATCGCTGACTTGACCTTGACATTTATATTTTCTTTTGGTCACTGGTGGTTGGTTGGAAGGCACCAGTAGTAGGTCCCACTTCTTTTCTTCCTTCTTTTGTTTCTTGACCTTTATGTTTTCTTTACGTCACGTTCTTGACCTTTACGTTTTCTTTATGTCATGTTCTTGACCTTTATGTTTTCTTTACGTCACTACGTTCTTGACCTTTATGTTTTCTTTACGTCACATTCTTGACCTTTATGTTTTCTTTATGTCACGTTCTTGACCTTTATGTTTTCTTTACGTCACATTCTTGACCTTTATGTTTTCTTTACGTCACTACGTTCTTG